TGTTGGTGGTGGTGTTGGTGGTGGTGCTGGCTGGTTCTGGTGGTGGTGGTGGTGGTGGTGGTGGTGGTGGTGGTGGTGGTGGCGGTGGTGGTGGTGGTGGTGGTGGCGGCGGCGGCGGGGGCGGTGGCGGTGGCGGGTGGGGGTGCTGGTGTTGTAGTAGTAGCAGCAGTGGCAATGATAGTAGTCGCCGTCGTAGTCGTGGTCGTAGTAGTAGCAGCAGCAGTAGCAGTAGCAGCAGCAGCAGCAGCAGCAGCAACAGCAGCAGCAGCAGCAGTAGCAGTAGCAGTCGCAGTAGCGGTAGCAAGTAGCAGGTAGCAGGTAGAAGGTAGCAGGTAGCAGCAGGTAGCAGGTCGCAGGTGGCAGGTCGCAGGTAGCAAGTAGCAGGTAGCACGTAGCAGTGGCAGTGCCAGTGAGCAGGAGGAGGAGCAGGAGGAGGAGGAGGAGGAGGAGAGCAACAGCAGCAACAGTAGCCTGTCAAGCTGACCGCTCCGGGCTCCGAACTGGTCTAGCACGAGGTGCATCCAGGTGCCTCAGTGAAGAGGCGCTGCGATGAGTGCAAAGAGGCGGTGTTTTGGAGCCTAGATGTTTACGTTGACACATGCGAGCAGTGGCCCGGGGAGAAACACCTGCAGATTCTCTCGAGTCCTGCCTCCGCTGCACTTCATGGCCGCTGGAGTCTTCCAGAGCTTCGTCTGTCTTACACATAAGATTAGCAGATCGGCGCGGAGACAGAAGAGCCTAGTGTAATTTCGTTCGAAGGTACTTTGGCCGAAACCCATCACGGCAGCATTGAAGAGGAACATCTCGTTAAACGTGGTGGGCACCTGAATGCAAAGCTTCAGACTTCGTGTCTTGCTGCCGGTCGTCAGCTACTAGCAATGTGTCATCAAACAACCCTAGACCCTAAACCCTAAACCCTAAAGCTCTTTTTCTCGGCATCCGTCCATGCCGCCTCTGGGCTCACTCACGCTCTTCTGCAAGGCGCCTGCGGGGCTCATGAGCAAAGCGCTGACCTGTCTCAACAACGAGAGCCGAGACATGAAATTGCAGGAAGAAAGTGCCATCTGCTGCATTGATCTCAAGGCTGCTCAGCATGTCGGGATCCAGGTTTGCAGCAGCCACAGTGTGCTGGAAAGTATACTCTCCCTCGGGTGCCAGCTCGAGCTCGCGTTGCATCAGGGTCTCACGCCCCTCCAGAGGCAGCCGCATGGCGTACTTCTTGCGCCGGGTCTCCATTTGGACAACAGGTCGCCCCCGGTAGTCGCAGCCAGTGGCGGAGACCAAAAACCGGATCGTCCGCCTCTGACTCCCAGAATTCTGGAAAGAGAGCTTCAATGGCAGATCCCTTTCCATCACGATACTGCCGCCGGGAAGAAAGCTGCTGAAATCCACCGTCACGTCCTTGAGGAATGCTATTCCGACCCCTATATGAGGCCAGTAATCCTAAACCCTAAAACCTGCACCCCAAACCGCTTCGCCTCTTCATGCTCACGAAGCGGCCTGGCCCTTGCCCTAAGTACAGTACACCTAGGCTCCCTCAAGGACATACTGCAAGCAAGGGCTTAAAAAAAAGAAGCCTAGAAGAGGGGTCTCAATGTGGGGCATGGGCCCAAGGCCCATAAGAAGACTATGGGTACTCATTTCAGCGCCTTTTTTTTGAATCCTTCTTCCTTAATGCCTATATAGTATAATAACCCCAAACCCTAAACCCTAGAACCCGAAACCCTAAACTCCTAAACTCTAAACCGAAACCCTAGAACCCGAAACCTTAAACTCCCAAACTCTACACCGAAACCCTAGAACCCGAAACCCCGAAACTCATCACATCAACGACGGCGGGTCCTGGACATCTGACAGCTCCTGAAGCTGCCGCCCCACAGCCCGCTCCTCTGCCTCCTCTTGGGTCACGCCACTCTCCTTGAAAACCCTACAAAGTCAGGTGGGTTCAGGGTTTAGGATTTAGGAAATCATGAGGGCTTAGGTTTAGGCTTGGTTTAGGATTTAGGAAATCTTGAGGGATTAGGTTTAGGCTTTGCTTGAGGGTATAGGGAATGGGGTATGCAGTTTTGGGAGCTTGGGGTGTACGGTTTAGGGATCATGAGCCGTGCGACGTGTCTTCGGAAGAAATATGCTGGTGGAGTGCGACCGACCGCTCAAACCAAAGCCCTCAAAGAAATCACAAGCAATCCCATCGAACAAGATCGTTTTCACACACTTATGAAATCCTGAATAGAACCCCTTGTAGCCCCCTAAACCCTAAACCCTAAACCCCTCCAAAAAAAGGCCAAAGCTCCAGAAAGGAGCTCGAGTTCGAGCTGGCCCCCGGCTCGCGGCACTGGGCCTTCGAACCAGCCGGGCCGGCTCGGCACGACGCACCGCGGCGGAGAGGGTCCGGGCACTTCTTGTAGAAGGGAGTCAGGTCCAGCTCCTCTATCGGTGTTTAGTCGATATGTGTCTTGTTGTTGTTTTTCCTGCTTTTTTGCCGGGGGGGAGGGGGGGGAAGGGAAGGGTGGGGTTTCACGCTTAGGGAAGACTGTTTATTCAGGTCATGTTCCCTTTTCGTGATGCAATACTATTTGGACAGAGAAGCATCCAAAGCATGCAAGGCCCTGCAAGGCATGTGTTTACAGGGCCTCTCTTGTGAAGCTCAGAAACCTGATTCAGCAAGACTGTCCTCCTCTTCGCACTGCATGGGGTCCGCCAGGCATGCGGCTGAGATGGCCCCAGGCTTTTTGGTGACTGCCTTGAAGCCGATGGTGTTGAAGATATCCCCAAAAGGATCACTGTACCAACGGATTCCTGAATAAAGGGGATCCCCCATGTGCAGGACAAAACGTCCATTGGCAGTAGCCTCCTCCTTGGCGGTATCACTGAAATCAGGAACGCTGTACACGAAGAGCTTGACATCGCCATTCACTTCTCCAATAACAAAGTCGGTGTCGAAGCAGTCGCTGGTTCCTTGCTTCACCTGTTTCACGGCCGCAGGTCCCATTTGAAAGCGGCCTCCCGACTCTTCCTGAGGCGTGGCATCCACTGCTTGCCAGCCGTCTGCGCCCGGCTCGCTCCTGGCGAAGTACATCTCATTCCAGACGTGGAAGGACCAGACACTGTCGGAGTTGCTGCTGCAGGGCACGCAGGGCATGCAGGAGGCGCACATCCCAGTGAAGCCGCGTCCGGTAGAGAGCTGCTGCTTGCAGCTGCTAAGCTGGCAGCCCTTCTCTGCGGCCTTGGCTTGGGAGAGGCACCATTTTGGGCACAAGTCCTCCGGGTACTCCGCCGGGCTCCAGGCTCCGTCCGAGGCGGCGAAGAAGAACTTGGAGATTCCCCGGTCTCCGTTGGTGTCGTGAGCGGACTGGAAGTTCGTCACGGACCTCGAAGCGATCCCAAGAGCTCTGCCGATGGTGGTCATCACGCCGGAGAAGACGAAGCACTGGCAGTATTGCACGGAAGTCGCCTTGGATCCAGATTGCACGAGACCCCAATGTTGCTCCAGAATTGGGGAGGAGGACGTCCAGGTGGAAGGATCTGAACAGATCTTCGACCACTCATTCGCCTTGCCTCAGCTTCTTCTATTCTCCTATGGTCTGGCTCAGGAAAGATCATCCTTTTAAGACGACCTGACAAGGCCTCAAAGCTCAGCCCGGCGCCTTTCCTTTGCAGGTATTTCTTCGTTCGGCACCGGTAGCCACCGGAGGGCCGCCCCGTGGCGTAGTTGCCCTCCCCCCACTTCCTTTCCCAACATGTCAGGGAGAAACACAGGACAGCTCCTACTCGTTCCGCTTGGTGCACAAGAGTTGCGAAAAGCTGTGACTACCACAGATATGCCAAGGCTCCCGTAGCAGACCCTTTCACCTATGGCATAGGTCAGGTGCCTAGCGATGGCCGAAGAGTCAGAGCGGAGGTCTAGCGGAAGATCAGCCAGCAAGGAGAGTCCGATCAAAAGGTTAGCAGCCCGAAATGGATCATGCTGCCAGACATTGGCACCATGGTCGTCAGAAAGCCCCTGCCACAATAAGCCCAGCTCTCCCCCAACATAGTCAGACATGAACTCTGCTTTGAGCTTGCGGCGGCGTCCTGCAGACTCCGGACATTGCCGGCAGGTGAATGGGTTGAAGATCACTATGAACCCCAAAGCAGTTGCTTGATGATCGCCAACAACGAGTCGGAGCTCGTACTCGCCCACGGGGGCATCAGCGGGCACCTCCAGCCGAATGCTACCATCTTCTATGATACCTGGCCTGCCAATGACAGACTCGCTTTCAACTCCTGGTTTTGAGGCCAAGAAAACCATGGCTACATGGTCTGCATGGACCCCGCTTCGGGCACGCACCGAAAACGTCTGCCCGCGACGAACGACCACTCGCCCGGCCAGCCGAGGCGGTGTAGCTTTTGGATTTACTGGAGCCTGGTCCCTGTATCGGTCACAGAGAGGGTGTCTTTGCAAATACTCCATGTCCTGCATGATCTCAAAGTCACGAGACGCCGGCGTGTATTTGGGCTCCTCTTCGAGCTCCTCGGAGGCAAGCTCTTCCTCCTCCAAGGCCTCGATCTGCCCGAAGGAGTACCACCAAGCCCGGCCACTCTGCGTGCTCCCGCTGCAGGATCGGAGGACCTTCGCTTTCTCCTTCTCCGCCCTTATCTCCAGCACCTCTCCCAAACAGGACTTGTACTTGCCACTAGTGATCAAGACCCTGTCGCCGACCTCAAAGGTCTCATCGTCTTCATCTCCCGTCCGGCGGATCGCCCAGGGCAGTTGAACGCAGACAGCCAGACAAAGTGCTAGGACGCCACGACGACCGGGCATCTAAGGACTGTAGGTGGGTTTGAAAAGCTACGAACGCAGCAAGGACTTGATAGCTGCACGGCTTCCGAGCATGCAGTGCCGTCTCTAGATCGATGGGCATTCTGCAGCAGCCTCGTATGCCAAGAACCACAGCCTGAATCCTTCCTCAGGCGATCCCTCCTCCAACGCAGACAATACGGGCCAAAGCAGACTGACTATCAGAACTACCCCAGTGATGAGACTACACACTTCCAAAGTGCAGCTGTTTGCATGAATACGAAGGACAAGGACACAATACTACATAATATGATACGATAGTATCCCTACTGTGCTGCACTGTACTGTACTGTACTGTACTGTACTGTACTGTACTGTACTGTACTGCACTGTACTGTCCTATCCTATGGAAGAAGATGCTACACCATACTTTATTGTACAGGACTACTACCAAAAGACCAAACTTCGCCACGACGTGTAACTTAGCATGCCAAGCACTGAGACCCCCATCCCCCGTAATGTAGGGGCTTTAATAATTTGAATCGGGTTTTGGGGAATACTATACTATAACTCTAATAAGGAGCCCCCAAATTGTATAGGTACTTGTTCAGGCTCCTATACTAGGCTCCTCGCACAAGGTACTGGGAGCTGTGTAGTGGCACAACTTTATTTATCTTAGGAAAGGAACTACTTCGCAGGCACGCTACTCAGAAATGCTGAGAAGATCCTCTGTATGTCGAAGCTTTCGTCACGGGGATGTTTACAGTACCTTACTTTACAGGCCTTCACTTCACTTACCACTGCATGTACATACACCTTAGGAACTGAAAGAAGGTCTGCAGGAGCAGAGGCTCGCCTTGAGTTCGGTGGCCGTGGTTTTCACGGTGCTTATGGCCTCGTTCTTAGAGTCCCGGCGCACCGGAGCACCTGGCGGGATGAAAAAAACTGTTCGAACAGTCAGGCTGTCGACCGGTCGCGCGGCGAACGATGAGAACATTTGTGGCGAGAGTTGTGGTGGTTGCTGCTGCTGAGGCTGCGGCGGCTGCTGCTGCTTCGAGTGTTTGTTGACAACGACGACGACGACGACGACGACGACGACGACGACGACGACGGCGGCGGCGGCGGCGGCGGCGGCATCGCTGATGATGATGATCATGGTGTTGGTGGTGCTGCTGAGGATGATGATGATGTTCGTGACGGTAATCGTGACGGTGAAGCTGGGGATGATGACCATGAAGATGATAATTACAATGCTGTGGATGGTGGTGATGGTGGAAACACTGGTGGTGATGCTGATGGTGAAAATTGGCGATGTTGATGCCCTTGATGACAGAGTGAAGCTGGGTAGGGTAGGTTAAGGTGATGAAGACGATCACGTCCATCAACACAACCACAACCACGACCACGACCGTACACACAGCAAAATACTCTTTGTCGTCACCATTCAATCGTCGACATCGCCGCCATCGTCTATCGGAGTCTATCGTCCACCTCCAACGGTTATCCTTGTCTGGGACACAAAAGCACTCACAGCCTTCGCTGTCTTTGGTAGAATCCTTGGAAGCAGCTCGCTGAGTCTTCTCCTCGGCCGACTTCTGCAGCAGATCTGGCCGGGTCAGGACAGTGCGGGCTGGTGCAAAGGGTCCGGGAGGGCTTGGGATTTCGGTTCAGGTCATACGAGTAAAGTGCCGGGCCGGGATCAACAGTCCTAGGTACGACGCACTATGACTACAGACTGATGGTGAAGAGCTGCGAGCATCAAGGGGGCAGTTCAGCAATGGCTCTGTTCGTTTAGGCGTGTGTCTCGCACTTGGAGATGGATGCCTTGAGCTTAGGGCATGACTGCGACAGGGAGCTTCGAACAGCAATTCAAAGAGCACCCAAGCTGTGCTTTAGCTCGTACATCCAGGACCACATCCAAGTACAGTAACAGGTCCTGTGTCAAGGGTCTGCTTCCCATGCCATCAACTTGCCATTGGGACCAGATTACAGCCCTGTCTCGCCATCTTGCAGCTGATATGATACGGAGTTGGACGACCGTGCAGCGGGTACATTGGTGACTTGATGTCGTGCAATCAGGTTAGCACCGTGCGCAGCAGCAGAACGCCTTTTGTGATCTTTATGTCATATCTGAATTTATGCCCAGATGAGCAGCCATTACGTCTCCATTTTGCTGCCCGTGCTCTGCGCCAGAACCCCAGACCGTGGCTTGACCATCTACCATAGAGCGTGTTGGGGTCTAGTTCACAATGCTTATGCTTATAACTTATAAAAAGTCCCTAACGAATACTATTACTGATAATTCCGACCCCATAGTATCTGCCCTTGTCCACCTTCGTTGTCCGCCACTGCGGCGGTGGCTGCACCGGCTTCCTCTGCCTGCTCCTCTTCAGAAGCCTGGCAGAGGCATTGGCGGTTTAGGGTTTCGAGTTTCGGGCTTCGGCTCTGAAGGCTACCGTTCAACTCCTCGGCCGCTCAGGGCCCATGTGGCCTAGGACACGAATAAAGTCCCGAGATCCTTCACTCGCGGCTGTCTCATGCATCCAAACTAGGCTGCGGAGCGGCAAAACGAGCCGTGCCTTGTTGTTCGCGACCCTCCAGCTGCGCTGGATGATTTTGATGCGAGCGGAGTACTCGCGACCTGGAGAAGCTCAGATGGGCCACACCGATCTTGTCGGAGTATGGTAGGGGTCTGAATGACAAGTAGTCATACCCCCAAATGCTTCTTCTAGATCACGGGCCATTCTGAGCGAGATTCATGAGCAAGACAGGTCCTTCCGCAAACCGCTCAAGCAAAACGTGAATGCCGAGGCCCGGACGAATGTATATGTACGCGCCCCCTGAGTAGTTCAGGAGCGCCTGCACCGCCACCCCCGTCCCAAGCGCAGCTCCAACTACTCCATCCACGCACACGTTGAACAGAAAAAAAAAACAAGAGGTGTCGGCATCAGGGTGTCATTGGGGTGGTCCTGGTGATCACGCCTCAATGGGCCAAACAGCAGTGAAGCTTGAAGTCGCCCGCAGCTTCTTGAGAATGGCCCACGCCAAACCCTCTAAATGGGATCTTCCGAAAATTAGGGTACCTTATTTTGGGGTCCTTTTAATAAGGATTCTATTACTTAGAGTACTATCTTAGGGTCCCCTATTTTCGGAAACACCCTAAATCCTGAGCACTAGGTCCTGAGTCCGAGACTACGACCCAACGACAGTCTTCGTCTCATGTCGCAGGGTCCGACACCGCTCAACTCTTCACACACTAGACCACTACACAACCCGACCCCAATACAGCTAAAAATCTACAAACCCAACGACCCAAACCCAAAACCCTAAACCCCTAAACCCTAAACCCCTAAACCCTAAACCCTAAACCCCTAAACCCTAAACTCCTAAACCCCTAAACCCTAAACCCCTCAACCCTAAACCCACATCGACCCCAGGCACCTGTAAGCCAACCCGTGCTTTGGAGGGGAGTCCATTCGGCAGCTCCTGGAAAAAGAAAAGTCTTATACTTGGAGGTTCATGGGTGGTTATATGTAGGGTTATAAGTCCCCTAATATGGGTTAACTATAGTTACCCTACATATAACCCCACTTATAACTACCCATGAACCTCCAAGTAGAGGTCTTCGAAGCTTGGGTTTAAAGTTTAGGGCTTGGCTGTGGGGGTTGGGGTTAGGGCTTAGGGTTTAGGGTTCGGGGGTTGGGGTTTAGGGTTTAGTGTCCACTTTTTTTAGGGCTCGTATACAATGCAGGGGCCTCAATAATTAGAATAGGGTTTTGGGCTCCTTTATAGAATAGTTGTAGTAAGGAACCCCCCTCACAACCCCATTCTTCTTGCTAAGACCCCTACATTATATATATATATATATATATATATATATACATAGAGAGAGAGAGAGAGACAGACTTTATGACAGGGCCCAACCGTTTCAACTAGGGCCTAGGGCTTCCAAGGCGCTTCGCAGGATGCAGGGGGTGTAGGGTCATGTCGGGCTTTGGCCTCAGGGCTTCGGGTTTAGGGATTGGGGTTTGAGGGTTTATATAGGGTTTAGGGTTTCGGGTTCAGGGATTAGGGTTTAGGGTTTAGGGCTCAGGGTTTAGAGGGTCAAAGTGCCCAAATGGCGCTGGATGGCCCAATCAATCACCAATTCCGAAAGGCCAAATTCACACCAACCCTGAATCACTGAACCCCAAACCTCACACCCCAACGCCGCAAACCCTAAACCGAAACCCCTAATGCCCCAAAGCCTATACCTTAAACACCCGAGCCCCTTAATCCTAATACCCTAAACCTAAACCACGTAATATGGAAGCCTGACTAATTGCCAACATCATTCCTTACAAATTCCTCATCCTCATTCTAGTAATCCTATCAGACAGAAACATAGTCTAATGATTAAGCCCCCCCCTACATTTGGAACACCTAGTCTAGAACCCTTATAGATATCTCAGGGCAACCCATATACAACTCATCTAGATCCCGTGAAAGAGCCCCAAACAACCGGGTTATTATTGACCTTAAAGGAACCTTACACCCTGAACACCAATAGACCCCCGCTGACCAAGGAGTAGGATGCGGCCGAAGCAGAGCAACGCCACAGCCTCCATGTCTTTGAAGCGACCTGGGCAGAGATATTCCGGGTTTGTCTACGGTTCTCTGTTCGTCCATGAACATTCGATGCGACAGATGTTTCACATGCAATTAAGCAACCCCGCCAGCGTCGTTTCAACAGCTGAACCAGAGAAACCGCTTAAAATCCGTGAAATCCAGGGCTCCTAAAGGAGTTGTCTTTTTTTTGAGTGCACCAGTGAGGATTTAGGTTTTTGAACGGTCACAAGAACTAGAATTGGTTCAGGATTTAGGTTTTTGATTGGTCACAGCCCCTAGATCTGGTCTAGGATTTAGGTTTCTGAACGGTCACAACCCCTAGACGACCGACTAAAGTTGTACATGTATATTTGCAGAGAGAGTTAAGGAATCAGGGTTTAGGGTCTGGGGCTTAGGGTTTGGAACGTGTGTTTAAG